AAAACGAATCGGCATGCCGTTCGGCTTTTCCAGCCATGAGTCCAAGTTCACGCACGAGTCTACATATCGAACGGCTGTGTCGTCTGGCAAATACCGCCGCAGTGGGAACGCAATGGAGACGCGTCTCTCAGCAATGCCGAGTGGCTTTGCCGTCTGGCAAATGCCGAAGCAATGAGGACGCGGCTTAAGAAAAGTTTTTTAATTGCGAGTACAGTAAACAACAGTTCTAGAATTAATCTCTCGTAGAACAAAATTTTGTATACGCAAAAAGAAAATGTTCCTGACACATGTTGCACGTAAATGAAACATGAGTCAAGATAATTGTGGTAATACTGAGCAAAAATAAGTACATACGCATATGCACTTACTTTTTGTTAGAATTGAGTTCTTGATCGAACAAGAACCTATAAAATTTCAATAATCATGTCTTACATTTAAAACTGAACAAAAATTACGAACACTGTTGTTCTTTAATTAAAAATATTACATCTGAGTCATGACATATTTAACTCTTGTGAAGGCAACTGGGTACCCGGGTACCCAGAAACCCATTTTTAAATTTCCTTTCACAATTTTTTATGTTCTTGACTAAAACAGCATTTGGTATATTATGGGAAGGGAAAACTAAGAGTTTCGAAAAAGTATGAAAGTAAAATTATCTATGTTTATCTAATCTGTCAGAATAGGAGGACATATTTAGATTGCTCAATAACCATGAATATTTTCGTTGCCCACACAAGGGTTAAATAAGAAGAAACTTACCTTCATCAATAGCCGGATAACTTGATTGGTGACTACGAACACTTGTTCATAATAACTGAATTACTTAGTGTTAAAATACCTCGAATACTATTAAAGTTTCTATTTAATAAATAGACTGTTGATATTTATGACATTTTTGCAGATTCATTTACAAAACCAGAAATAAATCAATCTTGTAACAATTAGGTTAGAAATGAACTAAATATTTCGACTAATGACACAAATACTTATGCTCACGATGATTTACACATTAATAGATACTATAAACGCATAAAATCCAAAGTCAATTAATCAGCTTTTTCTTTTATGACTCTGCACTAAATTGAATACAATTGTAGATCTCTTTATCTTTTGTTGAAACAACTAAAGGTTATCATTCTTTTTATCTTGCCATTTATTTGAGCAAATATGAATCAAGGTTTTTTCTTGAGGGACGGAAAAGAATGTAATAACTGATCCCTAATATAAAGAGGCGTTTCCATGTTTTATAATCAAGCAACGTGCAAAGTTAATTATTTCAATTAGTATTATCCGCTTAAAATAATTGTTGCGTGGGAACATCATATTTGCATTTCTATTGTTTTTTTTTCTCGAAGTATCACTACTCTGCCGTGCATACAGAGAATTAAAATTTGAAAACACATGAAATGTGTATTAAACAGAGATGTCTGTTTCTGCTTAGCATCTCCTCAAGTGTATTTCTTGACCGCGACAAAGTCCGCCGAGAATTTCATGCCAGTGGTGGAGTTAAAAGTACACATGTAATATTCTGATAAGAAATATGTTCTCATATATTTCACTTTAATAGGGTATCAAAGAGCACTACGTAATGTAGAACAATAATAATAGAATTAACAAGTCAACATAGAGTCTCATTGTGCGTTCCAAGACGAAATAATATAATAAAAAATACAAAAAAATTTCCGATCGGAGTAGAAACTAATTATTACACGTCTAACAAATAACCAGGTTTGCTTTTCATAAGTCAAAGATTGTCCCGACATTCAAAATGTCATTGATCATACAATAATAATTATATATATATATACATATATATGTATACATATTTATATACATATACATTTCGTATACAATAAAATAAATCTATTTACAACTGAATATCCCGCAATACTTTTCTCATCCTTTTATCTCGACTACATAACGTTGTTTATTGAGGAACCCGCAACGCTACGAAATTATCGATCGATTACTAAAACTTTGGTTACGCAAAAATATAGACGCGATAATCGCCACCTAGTCAGGAATTCGTTCAATCATCCATACACGCGTCTATTATCACTAAGCTCCACCGTCTCGTCGAAAAATGATTTTTGTTTAGACTTATCGCTTACATATATCTATAAACAAATGTACAGTAATTACAGTAAAGATTAGCGATAGATAGTGATTCATAAATACTACACACAGACTGATTACAATTACATTAACTCGAATGGCTCGCAATTACGGAGTATGCCTGGGAATTACCACCGCCAACAAAAATCATGTGCATCGGCCGTCGTGATACGGTCATAAGCGTGGATTTCAAACGGAAAATATGCGAAACGTGGCTCAACAATCTCTACATAGAGGGACAATCAATCTCAATAATCGACCGAATCGCTTGATCGTCCTCGCAGAAAGTCATCTCGATCACTTACGCCGCCATATTGGTCCACCGAATACCGCTCGCCGTTGACTTCGAGCAAAAGAACCAGATTACCCTCATGTCCGTCGACGTTACGACTATGACTGATAATAGAAAAAAAAGGCACAAAGTATAAAAATAGACTAACAACCTCTAACGTGGTTTTCTTCACCATAATCGATTTATGTAACCTATTTCTACTCTAAACGCGGATAACGAGCTGCGTCGAACGGTTCGAGCGTTCGGCTACCAATACCTCATTTGACGACGATCGCTTTGAAATATTAATTTGTTGCATAATAAAAGTTGTTTTTAAATGACAGAGTTCGAACGATTGCGACTTATTTGGAAACAGATATTTTCAATTGAAATAAAATCCGTCTGAAGTGTTGACAAGCTTTCTTTATCCCATGTGTAACGATTTTAAGATGGTTAAAGTGAAGCGCATTGGAAAACGTTATATTATGCAACAACCTAATAATGATCATTACGTTTCAGCTATCTCCAAAACAAAACACGATGCTTTCTCGTCAATTATTCCTACGGTTGAATAAAGGAAGAAGAAAAGAAAAAAAAGAATCTATTGTTTCCTCCTCACGGGAACTCGCGAACGTTAAAAAAGTAATCGCTCTTTTAATCGTCGCTCCGAACAAAGGGGCTCCGCGATTGCGCGTGTATCGATAAATTCTAAAATCACGCGCACACATACACACACACGTATAGAATAACTCTCTGGTAGCGGAAGCACGACATGTCTCACTTACGCACGTTATATCTTTCTCACTCGGAAATCACAGTTGAACATTGGTTTTTCAACGTTACCCGTGGCACTCGTTTAGCTCTCAAAATTAAGCGACACGTCGGTCGCAGCTAGCCGACCGAACTTTGTGAAGCAAGGGGGGAATGATTTTTAATCGAAAATTAACGTCCCATCGGCCGAACGAAAATTCATTAACGGCATAACCGGGGGGAAAAATTGCGCGCGACGGAACGGGCGCCGGGGGACGTGAAACGTTTAGATTTTCGATGAAAATTACTACCGGAGAGGCAGGTGGCCATCGCGATATTTGACTCGCGCGGCAAACAGAGCGGGCAAACGCGGCCATAATATTAAGATCAAGCACCGGGAAACATTGTAATGCCGCGATTATACGAAGGAGCCGATTAAATTGCCCGTTGACGGTTAATAATTACGCGGCAGCCATTCGCGATTTTTCATACAGGCACACGGTCTGCCTTGGATTTGCTCCCTTCTCTCGCTGTACACTCCGTTATCCTCGCGCGAAAATCACAGTTAAACGTTTGATACAGTAATACTTGCGATATCTTTAGATCTTCGAACCGAAGATTTCTTATCGGAGCGCTGAATATATGTACCCAATTCTCGCGTATAACTAGGTACAAATCCGATTATTACCCGGCTCGCATGTGTAAAATGGTTTCGGTCTTCTTCTGTTATACAGGGTGTTCCCAAATGGTATGTTAAATTCTGCTATTGGTTTGAAAATAAAGAAACGTTTTTCAAATATAGGCTCCAAAATGCTTCGTAAAAGAAATCCTGAAATCGTAAAGAATCATAAACGTGCACCCGATAACAAGCTCAGTTTCATTTGAACTTTAATTACTCTGTTTATTCGAGCTAGATGAAACGATACCGTTCGAAATGATTAAACGTGATTATTATAACTTGTATCAGTTTATATAACATTCCCACAATAGGGTTCAATTGTGATGGATTTATTGTAATTTTTTAACAAAGCGTTTCCATGCCTACGTTTATATAACATTTTCTTCTGTTTTTATTCGCGTAACGTACCGGCAGTTTTCCATATGCAAAAAAAAGATCGATACTATGGAAGAAATTTATTTTGTATGAAGTTCGGTTTCCAATGCAATTAATTCGAACGATTTGAATTGTATATAATGAATCTTAGGGTTCGAGATGTACGTTGCCCAGTTACTAGTAGCGAGAACTATTAGAGCATGTTGTACTAAACTTAGAATTACTAGAAAATGCTATAAATATCTATTACAGTTGAGCATAGCATATGTATAAAAACCTGAATATATAGAAACATATAGAACCTTTTTTTATTAATAACCTTATAATGAAGTACGTATATTTTTAACATCCGGTACATGGAAACCGAAATGTTCGCACATAAAAATTTTATCTCGTATTTCTAATCTATTTTTGCATATGAAATTACCATACCTTATTTATGATTACCATTCGATAAGTAACTTAAAGTTAAATTGAAAATGAAAAATAATTCTACCGATCACTGACCCGATAACAGTCGTACCGTGCATCGTACCTCATCCAACAACAAAATAATTCCGATGAAGCAATTTGATGCAACATAAACTGGGGACAATTATAGAGATCGAAGCACCAAGAGGATCGCGTAACCATATTTTGGACGGTTACCGCGGATAGCATAGTTTAATGAGATTACGAGGTTACCTTAGCAATAATACTTGTATTGTTTGTTTTTTCGCTCGAATTCCGTATCTTCGGCTTCTCAGTTCTCATACTTCCGTATCAAACACTCCTTTTTCATGCTCACACATGGATCACAGTTAAACGGTTGATACTTTTCTACGCGTCCAATCATGGGCAAGGTTCGTGGTCGGGAACTCATTGCGGCATCCCGGACGCGGCGCCAAGGCGGGGAGCGCCGTACAGCGAGTACGGGGAGAAATACGGGGGTAATCCGGCTGGTGTGTGGGGATGAGGTGGTGGAAGTGGTAAACCCAGCGACGATAAAGACGGTGGCAACAACGGCGATGGTTTCCCGTAAGGGTGATAACGCGCCGTCGCGAGTGGACTCAAAGGTGGCGTTGGATAAGTTCTCGAGAACAAAGGATGCGTCGGCGGTAATCCGACGGAGGGCGACAATAGGGACAACGTCGCCGCCGATGGATCCGTCGCTCCGCTTGACGACACGCTCGTGTGACTTCTTAGATGTTGCAGCAACTCGTCCGACGTGGAGAACCTTTTACCGCAATAAGCGGTGTCTCCGGCGATCCAGTTGCAAACGTAAGGAAGCTGCGAGGCCGCGGCCAAAGCGGCTAACTGTGCGTGAGCGTATGCAGCAACACCCAACGCTCCATAAGGCGTACCGGACTTATGATCGCACTGAACGCAACCAGCTGGACAGGTACCGGCTCCATTGGCAGCGCTAGACGCCAGCTTGCCGTTAGCGACTGCTGCGCTGGCAGAGCTAGCGAAAAGATGAGAGTTCAGTTGACAACCGGTACAGTATGGATCCCGACAAACGGGCATCAGAGCCTCGGCACCCGAGGCACTCTTCAATCGGGCGTAACTCAGATACGGATTTCCAGCTACCAGGCCGTTCTTTAAGGCTGCGTGATGCTGAGACATTAAAGAGCTGGCCATCACATCGACGGGTAACTGCGGGCTGTAGCCTAGGTAGGCGGCCGTCGAAGAGGCCAAACTGACGCCCGGCTTGAACGTTCCCAATGGAAGATCCTTGATGGACGGATCCGTCATCGCTAAGACGCCTGCGGGACTGTACGAGGGTTTCGCTTGTAACGATGGACTGCTCACAACCGCCGGTTGCGATGAACTCGAGGATTCGTGTTGCACTAACGATAGATTCGCCGTCGACGTCCTAGAAGCTGGTGATTCCCGGGCAACGTCGCCGTTCGGCGTCGCAGTTTTCCGACCTTGCGGCGTCACTGCGCGAACCGAGGAGGCGCTCTGATTGCTCGGGCATCGTTTATTACCGCTACCAGGTGTCCTCGATCGTCCAGACGTCGAGTGACTGGATGCTGACCTCTGCTCGTCCGGGCTCGATGCTTTCTCACGACCCAAACACGACTCGTACGGCTTGAAATTGGTCTTGCTCGATTCTGTCGACGTTAGCGCGACAGCCGGCGACGATTTTTCACGCGATTGATCCGCGGACTTCGACGATTTGTTACTCGACGGTTTGTCCAACGAGCCCAGCAGAGATTTATTAGACGGCGTGTCGGCTCCTATTTGGCTGCAGGTCTGAGCGAGGAGTGCGAGCGGGCTTTTCTTCGCGTCCAACTGAAACCAAAATAAACGAATAAAGGAATATCTGTACAATGCTTTCGTATTTTTATAAAATGGCATTCATTCCATTATATTATTATTTCACACAAATGTCTCAATAATATATGTATACACAGACACACAACCATACGACTATCTTCAATAACAAAATATTCATTTGTTAATACATGATTTTGTTTTCAGTACTAACTTCTGTCTTCCAACACGAAAATTAAACATTGTTTATTGTAAGTAAAGTAATGCGATATGACCAGAACATAAAAAAAAATCAGTTTATTATGTGAAAATTTTAAAACTCTTTATAGTACTTGTTAAATGTCTATCCACACTCACGCGAATCATAAATTACTCAAAAAATTAGACCATTTGAGTGAACAAATCAATCGTAACGTTATGTACGCCACGAGAGTACTAGAAACGAAATTGCAAAATAAAATTTGATAAAAAGGCAGCCGATTATTTGCCATCCAAATATAGTTCGCAGCAAGAGCGTTATAAACATCTCAAACATGAAGAATGCAAATTATCCCTAGGAATTTTGTTTGTGACAAATGCGTTTTCATAACAAGACTGTATTACTTCATATTATACGCTGCATTAACTGTTTATAAGAAACGAAATATAATTTTTATTTCAATTTTATTGTATCCCTATAAGAAAAATTGTATTATTACAGAGTCCTCTCGATTATCGTCCCTAACTCAGGTCCGCAAGGGGACGATAATCGTGGACTACGCGAAACTCGCCTTTGTAGTATTCTGAACGTAGAAAAGAACAAGCCAGTGAAAAACAGAGAGAAAGCTTCTTTTCCCACTCGACTTGACTACATGGCCCGCCTGCAATGCTCTCGCCGACCAATGATTACATTATAGCCGACCACACAGTCCGATTGTGTGTGTACCGTTTCGAACAATAATAAAAATACGTGTGACTGAAGGTGATCCAGCTATATTTTATTCGTCGGCTTTTTGTAATTCTTAAATAAAAGATCCAACTAGTTTTTACGAAATTATTAAAATTCACTAAAAACGAAAATCTTTTAAATAAAGATGTTTATCTACATTTTTAGAGGTTCACTGCCGACTGTAGGTATTCTATTTCATTCAAAGTATCAGAACTCTCATGCTAAGAAAACGTGTAGCAAATAATATGTATTTAGAAACAGTTTGAGTAATCATCGTTCACGATGCAATGACAAATTAATAAATCAAACGTAAAGATTGAATAATTCTTTGATACCGTAATATTTTTATTTTTAGTGTTTCTCTGGAGTTTATGTGCATATAACTCCCTACTCTTAAATATATATGTGATTATACATTGAGAACACGTGTTTAAAATATAGATATCAACAAGAAAAAGGTGTAGAATGATTCAGAATATCCCTGTTAATTTATGTTTTTCATATTTATTTCTACTAAATGAAAACATAGTCATGAAAAATTATTCGTGGAAAACTGTTCTTGGAGTAAATATTTTTTGGTCGATTCCTTAAATGTAGGAAAACACACGATATCTTATTAGCAATTGGCACGCTTTTAATAGAAGTGATTAGAAAGTTTTTGTAAAAATAGGTAGTGATTGTAAAGTTTTCATGTACACGACTGCTTATGGAAAACATCACACACGAAACTTGTATTGAGTTACTGTTCATGAGAAGCCAATCAAATTGACTAAGTATGTTTCGAAATTAATCACTGCAGAAACAAATTTGTACTTATTATTATTGATCTGTTGAAAAATATGTAGCAGAGAATTACCAGAATTTAAGAAGCCAATTCGACGTTTTGTCGATTGCGCAAATCTTACGACCACGCCATAAAAGTGAATAATGATTGCGAAATAAAAAATCTGAAGAAAATCGTCGCAATTAATATATGTTATAGTCTTTGACAGAAGGCGCTATCGGTTATCGAACGTGTCTGTGAAAATTTAATATTGGCGCCGAGTGCGAGCATTCGCTTCCAAGTAGCCGAGATGATACAGTTGGTATAATTAGCGTTATAGAGGAACGATATTTCTCGCGGCTGATACGTCCATCGAACAGATGTTCGGTGTAATTAAAATGCAACGTTCATGCAACTAACTCGCCGTTTACGGTTGCTTCTGCAAATGGCGCGATGCCGACAGATATTAATGCCATGAATTGCAACAGGCTATTACGGCGTTACGGTTAAAGCTGTATGTTAATTGCCCCCGCAAAAGTTAACGGAACGCTCCGACATAATATTTTAATCTGCTAACGCTGTCCTCGGGGCTTTTCATCGCCGTCGTCGACCTTTACTACAATGAAAAATAACCCTTTTCCCTGCCACATTACCGGCCAATTATACTTCTTCTTTTCTGCCATGTAAATTCACTAACGACTTTAGTAGATATTTCATTAAAGGAGTATATACATATTATCTGACGCCTCGGTATTCTTTCTCTAAACGCGGGATATTTTTGTAATTCATCATTTTTTAAAACACAGCGCGGTACACATTACACATAAATGTAACTCTTTTTCTTCATGGTGACTATACAAAAAGTAAAAATTTATCTGGTTTATAAAACGCCGTAAAAAGAAAGAGAAATCTCTTAATAAATGTAGATCGGTAGTAAACTGATGGTTCCTGAAATACTCGGTTATTTTTTAATTTGTACTAAAGCAGAATGACACTAAAAATATCACTATTTATTACTTTCGTTTACTTTTTTTAATAATAATATGACTTACTTCGAGTAGTTTTCATACTTGTAGGCGACTGTGTTCATTTCTTATTTCATGTATAAACTATCAAATTGAATATTTTAAAAACACTTGGTTTATTGTTCCATGTTTATGAATTGTAGGATTTTTTTTTGTTTCGTTACCAAAGCTTCATTAGTCGGTTAAATTTTTGCATGTGATTCACAAAACACCCAACCATGAGAATATTATTACTACCTTTAAACTTATATATCGCGGTAATTATTAAAATTGTTATTACAATTGCTATTGCTTCCAAACACTAGAAATGTAATTCACGTACACATACATGTACAATGCAGCATTTAGATACCAAAAAATGAAAAGATTGCAAGATTAGATACACTGTTTCTGCATAATCGCGTTATTGATAACTTGTGGTGTAACTGTAGAGAGGAAATATCGCAGAAAGGTCAATTTTAAAAATGTAAGAAGTATATAAACCTTGAAAACCACCCGGAGTAACAGATTTTACTTTAGATTATTTTTAAATTCTGAGCACAATAAATTACTTAACTTATAAAGCAATATGAAGGAATAAATCCAAGTTATTATTTTCTTCGAAAACGAGTCACTTTAGCATTTCGATTTATTTGAAGTATAGAATGGCTTAATTCTCAATTATAGTCAGTTTATACTCTGGTACATCTGTTTATACTAGAAAAAAATCAATTTTACAGATAAATGACAATCAAGAGATAAAACAGATCCAAATGAAAAGAAATTAGAACGATGGAAATTACACTAATTCTTGGAATAATGTAATAATTTTAATGCAAATTGTGTCGGCAGAATCAGTTCCACCACTTTTGTTGCTTATATCGTTCCGACTTTCTGCTTACTATTCTCCCTCGCTCATTTTTAGCAAATGTAAAAGGTCTCACTCCGGTTAAACGCTCTTTCAGTCTTATTGTATTTAATATAACCAGGCTTGACATACAAGATGTTCAGTAATGTACGATAAAAGCGTAGACAATTATTTACGTAAAAATGTATCTACTAAAAAAAAGGAATAGAATGTGTAATTTATCGATTTTGCAATGAATTTGAACCATTAGACTGTTGTATGTAAAACAAACAACTTAAAATATAACATTAAACTGGTGCACATGTTTTCTTTAATTAAGCCCTAGGAACATGTGAAATTTCAAAACGTCAAACCTGATTCAATCGTTATTCTTGTGGCTTTTTCGTTCTTTGCGTATAAAAGGTATTAAAAAGTATCGAAACAATAACAAGATATGATAAATCATAATGTAGCTGATCAAGTGTTGCATTACCATTCAATAAATTCATCTGTCAGTCTATTTATTTTCAGAGATACTCTTTTCTGACACTGAATACATTAGGCAACAATGCATTGTTTCTCTTCCATGTATTGCCATGTTATTATTCTCACATTATAAAATTCACACTGCAAGGAAAAGACACTTCATGCGCACTACTTTAACAATATTTTTCATTAAATATTATTACTTCTATATTACGTGTATAAACGTAGAAATGATTTATGGCAAACAGATACATGTAATACAATAACAGCCTTTAAGCCTTCATGACTCGATTTCTCTTGTGTTTAAATATAATTTAACAAAACACATGGTTAAACATTGGTCATGTGTTAAAAATTAAACTTTAGGTTAGAACAGCCTTTTTATTCGAGAAAATGGATTTTATAGACCTGAAATAATGGACCTAGACAACAGATATGATCCTACAAGTATGTATATAATTTCTTGGTCACATCCGTCGTAGAGAGTTAAATACGTTCTGCTCCGAAACTCAGAATTGCTCATAAGTTCGTAATTCTTTATAAACTTTTACCAAAAATGTTTTCTGCAAAAGTATTACATTATTATTCAAAGTACTGCACTTTATAAGACATTAGATACAAGCCTCTAAAGTCGGCGACCAATAGATTTCCAAAATATATTCCACAAATAATAGAAAAAAGGATCGTATAACAAACATATTAAACATTAATTCTCTCACAAAGAAAACCTCACACCTCAACATATTCAGGTGCATTTGGGATTCATTTTTGCACGTGGCATGATTTATGTTAAGGGTGCTGTACACACTATTCATTTCAGAAAATGTGAAAAAATCTTTACTAGCTTAACACTCTACCCTACATTTTAAGCGAAAAGATAGTTGTTTTATTTTTAATTCATATATATATAACATCAGCTCATTAAGAAAATAGTGCATTACAAAGATAATGAACAAGTGTTCGAATGAAATAAAATACGATACTCAATTTTCGTAACATGTTTGATAACAGTGTCAATTACTTGTTGCTTTATGCCCATGATACCAATCGAAACACTACGCATGCTCCTGCTTGCATACTCAAGGGAGTGTACAGGAATACTCTCAGCGTTTAGTGAACGATGTTGCGAACTGCATCGTTTATTACTATCTACTGTTACTATCTCAACAATTGTTTTTGCTTGGAGTAGACGTTATTTACTTTTCTGTTTCATGTATTTTTCAGGCACCGAATGGTACGAACGCGGTGTCGTGATCGAATGCGGAGACATGTTGACCCATAATAAAAATTATTATACGCACTTTTGAAAATAAAATTGTGGACAAATTGCGAATCATTTAGTGAAACTGATACATACATCGATTAGTTATTGTAGGTTTTAAAAACGGAATAAAATAGTTTAACTAATAAAAATATAGAGGTAATTGAATGATAGAATAAACATAATAATTAGGCCATGGATGTTTATGTAAACATAGATTTCTAGGGACTAGTCTGTAGAAACTGTTACCAAACAGAAATTAATTTATTGTATTAAATAATGGCTCAATTACATTTTGTAAAAATTGTTACTATATCGATTTTTAAACAACCTTGTATGCTTTACCTCGAGAGAATTTTCAGTTTAATAATATTTTACCATCATCACCGAACACTTTTGAGTGAGCTCATTGTGTCTTATAATAGAAAATACGATAACGGCCACCATCGTTGTGTTAAACTGATCCCTACATCCGTTGTGCAAAGGTGAATATTATTCGTAATAACCCCTAAATTGAAACGAAGATATTTTAGATCAATGAAAAGCAAAATGTAAATCAACCCATTTTAGCTAAGCATGTGGTCACAGTAGATCGTATTGTGTAAAAAAGAAAGTGGAGTAAAAACGAAAAAAGGGGGTTAAAGCGAAGAAAAGGAGAAAACAGCTCGACCTTTTGTTCAATTCTGGCGTGAACACGTCCCCTTGCGTCTTTCCTCGCAGCGTTGTATTGCCGAATCGCGTTTTGATTTACAACGCTCGTAAATCAGCAAACGTTCGAGCAGTAACGTTGCCAGCACTCGCTGTCCTCAAAATAGTTTACAGGAGTTAAAGCGTAAGACGTGAAATGCATTCCCGTCGAGATTAACGGAACGCCGACAGCCGCAATTAATGGGGCCGTCGAAACGATTGTCCTTCGCGGTATTTATTTCATGTCGGGTTTAATAACGACCCGATAGCGGGCTGTTATTACGTTGACACTGCCGCCAGGGTTTAATCTGCGTTAGAGATTTTACGCGCGATTTTATCAATTCGATCCAAAATTATCTTTTACGGAGAATTACTACATATTATTGGGTTGTTGTGTAATAAATATTGTTTTGCAATTCACTTCAATTTACTACTTCAATGTCGTTTAATGTAGGATGATCAAGAAACTTGTACTTCATTGGTAAGAATATGTCGATGCAAATGGATCTTCGATTAATAATCTTTTCAAGCTAATTCTGTATCTTGCAAAGTCTGCAATATAAAGACAGTTGTTTCGCAACAACTTATTTGTTTTAAAACTCTAGTTTAATTCAGCGATTTTGACTTTAAAACATTTTCATTTTTTTTTTAACAATAGCGGTTTACATTTCAAATAAAACATACTATCAATTGTAAAATAAAAAAATGGATTCAAAACTTTGGTGGTGGACAGGAAAATTCTACGGCAGCTGATAGATAAAATTGAATACTCAGGGTATGTGTGTTTACCCTCGATTATCGAAAACCGAGTTTCTTCATCTCTATACTGCACCATATATCGCACAAAAAAATGTCTATATAATATGCTGAACGTGTTCAGTGTGTTTATACATCGAACACACCGAATCCGACGTACACACTGTACTCACGACAAAGGTACAAAAAAAACCCGAAATGAAGGAAACCGAAACAGAAACACCACACTAACCGTAGTAGGCAGAGGCGTAAGATATTCCGGACGGAGGTACTGATTCGCGCTGGAAGTTAGCATTTTAGATGATCGCCTTCTTTCTTCGCACAACTTTCCGTTTAACTGACAGCACTGTGATCACTCGCGGCAGCCCGCCGAGGACTGACAAACGACAGAACCTTGACGAAACCAGCGATCACTTCCCGTGCTCTTCCTTATATCCGTTGCGGCGAAACAATGAAGGCGCACGTAAACGAAGCCATTTAGGCGGCTTTCAGGAACGTACTCTCTTGTACACACAATTCTCCTTGGACGTGTCGGGGACACAAAACACGAGGATACCGAGGAAAATGAAAAAAAAGGGAGTACACGATACGCATTACACAACACACAACGACCAGTTCACGCGGCCGACTTCGAATCGCGACTAAGTGGGTCCGCGGTCCGCGCACTGTTCCGACGGCCGAGCCTCCCCGTGCACCCCACCACTTGCCACTTGCCCGGCGATGAGCGTTCAGCTGACTCACCCCGCCACGCTGCGCCGCGACACGCTACACTGGGAAGCTTACCCTTTCGTCGTTCGGTCGGTAAAGGCGATGTTGTTTGCCCCCACATTTCAATAAAATTTCCTCGAAAGAACGATGGAAATGATACGCTTGCAAAAATATTGCTTCGCTTATGTCGGTGATTATCATTCAGGTCAAAATGATAGCGCGTTTACCACATTCATTGCCATGACGTCATTGGTGACCGACATTGACAACATATTCTCCGTTTACGCCTTGTCAGTCACGAGTAATTGTCATTTTACTGTAAAATAATCCTTTCTTATATTTGTTATACAGGGTGATTCTAGTAACTGGGCGGGTTATAGCTTTGCTCCAAGTGAAGTCAGAAAAAATCAAAGAGAAAATTTTATATTCTTTAAGAAGCTCTACCATCCGACTGTATTATATGTTCACAATTGTATCGGTGCACTTGCAAACTACAATTGCATTTTTTTTTAATAGAGCAGTGCAATTTTTTGTATAAATTGATTCCTTATGTCATTCTGTGTATAAAAAGTATAAGGTAAGGTACTTTTTACATAATTATTACGTCAACGTTGAATCACCACACCATTATTGTATTTATTAACATCGTACTTACAGATAGACAAACACACACATACACAGTTTACCATAATTCGCATGTCCTTACATACTGTTTACATTGCTTACCACTTAAACGTACATACTGTTTGCGTTGTTACCTTTTAAACGTACATCTTGAAACAAATGAAATATCTCGTAAAGTATTGTGTTCTCAATGACCTTACCTTTTTATGTACAGAATGTCACAAGGAATCATTTTATGCAAAAAGATCATACTGTTCTATTTAAAAAAAAGTGCAATTGCAGTTTGTAAGTGCACCGACACACTAGTGAAAAAATAATACAATCAAATGATAGAACTTGTTAAACAATGCAACATTTTTTATTAGTTATAATAAATTAATTATTCATTTTGTCATATTTGTTATATTTATCTCTGATCAAAATATTTCATATCATAAAGTTTACTTACATCTAATCACACATCTTTCAGATATTCAAGTATTATACACGATATTTGAATAGCATGTTTACAGATTAATCGTGGTGATGTTATTTAATAAATTAATTCATATCGAAGCGGAATATCAAATGATCCGAATGGGTTAAATAAGATGAATGTACTAATTCCATTATCAGTTGAGATTCAACTTGTCGGCATCGCTATCTAAAAGATGGTCGATTTCTCCAACTTGAGAAGGGGCATCACTACGGAACGACGAATACGAAGAGCGGCGCGACTAACCAATACGAACGAAAGAGGCAAAGGTGACACAGTGATGTCGGCGGTGTCGGCGGTGTCGGCGGTGGCGGCGGTGGTGATCGAGACACGGTGGTCGTTGTCGGTACGCGCCACGCCGACAGTTTTGCCGGGTGCAAGCGACCCGACCAACGACGTGTCAACTTGTGCGGGGTGCCCCTACGACTCCTACTTCGATCTGCCCCCGCCACGAGCTCCATTCCCTTCTCTTCTGTTGCCGCCCCACTTTCTCTTCTCTCTTACCATCTTCTGTCCCAGTCTCTTTCCATTACTATTACATTCGCCGAAAACGTTTTAATGCTAACGAAATCTACATTTTGCTCCGTTATCTTCGCTACCCTCACCAATTTGGGGGTAACTAAAACACAAATATGGGAAATTTTCAATTAAGAGTGGAATCTTGATTGCATGAACTAATTGGGCGATACGTTGTCCGGATAATCGAAGGAAGATATTTTCAGTGAATGACAATTTAATTAGTTTATTGGGCTGTTATTGTACTGTTACAATTGTTTTTTGTAGTACATTCTGATCCTTTGTAGTTTCTTAAAAATAATTTCCTTGGCGCCAGAATGCTTAAAATTACTCCACAAATTTAAAATTCTTGTTGGTGCAGGTATAGCTGATTAAAGGTAAAACTATTTAACATTGGTCTATATACATACATATGATTGATTTGAGAATCAAAAAGAAAGATTTAAATTCGTTTTTCTTAAAACGTGATGTTTATTTCACACGCGCCACGATAAAAAGTTTAATTATAGACTGATTTCAAAAATTCGTCCGATATTTTATTCATAATTCAAGTCGCTAATTTTTTTTATTCTTGAAATATGTAATAATAAAGATCAAAACGGATTTTTATCGTATATTGTTCCATTGTTTTTTTGTAAATTCATGAAATTTCGTATTTTTGGAGCGTTTGGGCCGGAGGGTATCCTTAGTATAACTTATATATTCTTTTGTAGAAACATTTATCAAATAAGATAAAACTTTTGTTAAAATACTGGCTTATTGGTTATTTTTGTATTAATTACCGTTTTTTTAAACTTTGCCACATTACTTAATTGCAATTGTACCATTTTCACTTTCAAATACGAAATGTTGTGCATTAATATGACTGCACTAATATAAAAAACCATGAATCTTAAACTTTATTTTCACAATGAGAAATGTTACCGAACAGAGAAAGGGAATAAGTAGACCAAGAAACATGACCATAATCGAAGACAGCCTTTGTCCCTTCGCGTTTACGACACTGCGCTTTCACCGGAAGGAGGATCCAATCCGTCTGAGGACTGTCATAAAATTTCTGCCCGTAGTGAAAACACACACAGGTATGGATTATGAAAGGTTCGTCTGTCATTTTTCAGCCGCAGTAGTAAACGTCAGCAGTGTATTAAGTGGCCAAACAATACCTCCGATTGTACATGAGGAATGTATGCGGGGACCAGTAATTAAGCAGTATAACTTATAAGTTTCGACCCTGTGCGATCTTTACCATCCAGATGGCCGGTTTACAGCTTTACGACGGTTACAAAAAATAATTTCCTTTTACAATCTTATTCAAAGCGTGATTGCTTTGAATGATTTTCCGCTGTTTGCGGTGAAAATAAACACTTGAATATCCCAAGCCGTGCTACCTGCACAAACTACAATACATTTCGAAGTGCCATTCAAAAATGCCGTTCGTTGTATACAAATATAATTCCGCTGGTATTGTTCTTCAAATTACAAACACGAATTTTATATTACATTAAATTTCATATCCAAAACGAATATGTATTTCTTTCGATACTGTTGTTTATGATAATATACAGGGTGGTCCATGCAACTTGTTCACCCTGAATAACTTCTAAAGTATCCATTGCATGAAAAAACTTTTTTATAGAAAAGTTGTATGATTTGGAGGGATACATTATGTAATGCATATATTTTTTTGTAAGTGAAGGTGTTTCGGAGATTGGAGGTCAACTTCGTTTTTTTAAATGGAATGTTATACTTTTTATACCAAAATATCGAAGAGCATTAAATTTTGAGTAAAAAAGTACACCTTTATTATCCGTAAACCTAATAATTAATGAATAATTTCACTTTGTTTCTTGAAAATGGCCTGTGCGTAATATCAAGTTGGAGATTCATACCAGCAAAGAGTTCTGTAAGACTTCTTCCATCCACTAACATAGGTGTTCGAAATGGTGTCCATTCACATTAATGCACTCATGTAATCTATTAATCAACGAGGAAACTGCACTCTGTACAGGATAAATTTCGGTATACATACATAGTTATAGTTGCATTTCTACAGCAGTCACCATAAACTAAAAGCATATCCACTTTTTCGCAATTACTAAATTTCATTTTTGCTTTTATCTTACTGAGATAGTCACGTATAAACACGGATGATAACTTCAATACTGAATCACGAACAGAATAGGCGATTACGATTCCATACGCAGAATCTGTCATATTGATAAACATTGTCACGTAAACTCCGCAGTCTGACGGAAATCTTTGCTGGTATGAATCTCCAACTTGATATTACGCACAGATCGTTTTCAAGAAACAAAGTGAAATTATTCGTTAATTATTAGCTTTACGACTAATAAAGGTCAGTACTTTGTTACTAAAAATATAACGCTCTTCGATATTTTGGCCTAAAAAATATAGCATTCCATTTTAAAAGACGAAGTTGACCTTCCTTACATACATAATGTATCTCTCCAAACCATACCATTTTACTATAAAACATTTTTTCATACAATGCATTCTTTAGAAGTTATTCAAGGTCAACAAGTTGCGTAGACCACCCTGTATATTTAACATTGATCCCTTAAGTTCCTTGCGTTTTTAGTAATGAAATGAGCGAAAAGGTGTTGTTTACATTAAATTTACAGTACGAATCAAACGTCAATACAGAAATATTTTGTTAAAAATTTCCATCAAAAATTGCTTCTGCGTGTGTTATAATTAGGCTGCCGGCTGCGAATATTTATACAAATTTACAAATGTATACACTATGTCATGGTAACTAAAATTGAACAGAAATGTATTTTCTTCGCTATAAATTTTATTGTATTAATAATAGCGTAAAAGTAGTACCAAAGTTTATTATAATCCTTATTTTATTACGTTTTTCAGATTATAAGGGGTTGTTATAAATGCAGAAACATCCGTAGTCTAGTTATAACGTGTTTTCATCACTGATAAATGAAAATGTGAAAAGTTGAAAAATGAGTGAATATGATATTCGAAAGTTTCAATTATACATCTCGCGTCTCTGTGGGAATTGTCCGTGGAATAAATTTACCGCGTATACGTTTTAAATGCATACGTAACGTGGGGTCGAATGCATATTGTAACGATTAATAAATTTCGCCGAAATAGATTGAGGCGGTAATGGTACTGGTATATGGACCGCGGACGTGGATAGGTTCATGCTGCATCGAAATGCATA